TTACAGGCATTCTTGCATTTAAGCTGAACTGATCCAGTTCTCCAGCATGCAATACAGCATTCAATCCTGCAATCTGTGCTTCTTCCTTTGCCAGGGCCGTGAGCCCCAGCTCTCTCCTTACCACTGGTCTGCCCTCCAAAACTCTCCCATGCCATTCCCTACTCTCCTTTCATGCCTTCAGATCACAGCCTGAACACTCTCACCTTTTAAGTGCACATCTAGTCTAACATGAATTTTATCAGCCTACATAGTTTCTGTCATTGCCTACTCAAAACCAAGGTACATGACACAGTTTCTGTATCTCATCACCTCAGTCTAGCAGCATAGATGCTCAGGTCTCCTCCAGAACTGCCTCTACCACCTCTTCTCCTATATACCTTGAGAAAGGAATTATATGAATAAACACCCCAAGGTCTCCCACAGCCTAACTTCCTCATTCCTCTCCTTTCTCTGGCACCCTGATCCATGACTGCAGGACTTCCTCGGTCTTTTGCCCGAGTATCAGCTCTGCAGCCTTGTTTAAGTCCAGCTGCAATGTCAGCCTCATATTCCCTTCAGAGTGCACTTCTCGTTTTAGAAAAATGCAGTCCAAGTGCAAAGCTTATTACTGAAACCAATAAACCACCAAATGACAGATAAACAAATTACCTTCTCCTCAGGCAACCTCCTTGGAAGGTTACTTCTCCCTCCCCAGGGAGACACAAGATCTCTCATTGATGTGACATGCTGGTAACATGCAGATCTTCACTACAATATTGTCTGTATACAAATCACAGGCTTCAGGGCTTCAGCCACTTGCCTGCTGAGTCCAGGAAGGGATTATTTCCCTCAGCGCAAGACTTGCCAGATTTTTTTGATGACTTCTTTGTCTTCTTCTGAAGCATCAAGAATCAGCAGTAGTGGGTCACACACAGTACAGGACAGGCAGTAAACAGGGTCCTCCCTCTTGCAATTGATACCTACCTGGATAATTTGCTGATTAAATTAATTACCAAATTTGGCAGTAAATAGCATTCCAATTTCCACTGCCCTCTCAGACTGGTGAGGCATTCATTGTCTCTTACCTTCCTGGATCTGTATCTCAGTACATCTCAGCTCTGTGACTGCAACATACCTCTGCTGCTTCTGTTTCCTGAGGCACAGCTCCCACCTCTTTTATTTACAAGGCCAGAAATGTCATTTGTCCCTAATTACTGGCATCAATATATGTTGTAGAAATTTAATGGTATACACAAGAAACCAGGGCAGGTAATTTAAGTAATTTCTCTCCCCCACCTCCCACTAAGGACTGGTGAGACACACCTGGAGTACCATGTCCAGGTCTGGGCTCCCCAGCACAAGACAGACATGGACTTATTGGAGTGAGTTCAGCAAAGGACCATGAAGGTGACTAAGGAGCTGAAACAGCTGACCTGTGAGAAGAGATGGAGAGAGCTGAGACTGCTCAGCCTGGAGGAAAGGTGTATAAATATTGATGGAGGGAATAAAAAAGGTGAAGCCAGGCTCTTCTCAGTGAGGCTGGGCGATAGGACAAAAGGAAGCGGCACAGACTGAAATACAGATTTTTAAATGCAAGAAAAACCCTTTTTTACTGTAAGAGCTGTCAAGCACTGGCCTAGGTTGCCTAGAGAGGTTGTGGAGTCTTCATCCTTCTCCATACTCTCAAACTCTTGACTGGACATGGCCTCCAGCAACCTGCTCCAGCTGACCCTGTGCGAGCAGCTGGGTTGTAGGAGCTGATCCAGTGGTGCGTGCTGGCCTCAGTGGGTCTTGATTCTGTAAAGTAACAAGCTTCTCTGGCCTAAACCACTGTGAAATTAGTCCAAGTCACAGTGTTCAACTGCTCATTTAAAACAAGAGAGACTATTAAACACCAAGACGTCGAGAGAAACCACCGCACCATGGTGGTCTACATCAACTGCCTCAGGGATGTAACAGCTCAAGTATGAAACAACTATCTCTTTTCTTGACTCTTGCTGCTATAAGAATAGCCTAACTGGATGCCCAGACCCAACCCTCCAGCAAACAACTGTGCAAGCTTCCATCCAAAAGTCAGAGGGGCCTCAGTGAACCCCACAGCAATCCCAAGATGGCCACTAGTGGACTGCACAAAGGAGTGGACACTGCTGTATCTGCCACTGTACATGCAGACTGCCCGCTGGCTGCAGAATCACTCCTTTAGCACATTCTTTGCTAAGTTACTTACCTAAAACAAGCTTTTGACAGGGATAATGGAGTCAAGGCAGTCCTTCCCTTTGCAGTCATATGCCACAGCAGAGTACTGCCCAGAGCACACAGATGTCAGCTTGGTGAAACAGGTCACATGTAAAACTAAAACTGCCCTCAAGGTATTTAAAAAAAGACAAAAAAATTCAAAGCCTCATATATAATGCTGACCAGCTCAGCAAGACAAGACAAGATAATCCCCTACATCTAGCTCCATCAACTCCTCCTTTTTGTGACCCCCATGTAGGTGGCTGCAAGCCCTCTGTGTTTTCACATACATATGAACACATGTGAACTTGGATATATTTTTCCCAAAGATCACTGAAGAACCAGAAAGTTCATCCTTTTGCATGCCAAAATTGGACATTTTTAGCAGAATCAAATATTCTCCCAGCGGCAACTAAGAATGCGATCTGCAAACTGCTTTCCAAATGGTTGCTTTGGTGCCTGTGGTTTTTTAACATTTGAAATAGCTGATTCTCACATCCCTCTCTGTGAAAGTAGTGGGAAGATTCATAGATCTGACTAATCTGAGCAACAGTACTTGAAAAAAGAAGGGGAACTGATTTCCAAGGACTAAAATTGTAAATCCAGTTTGAACCTAGAAAGAGTCCCTCAATTTTCATTTTTACACTCTGAACTCCTCCATTTCACTAAAAAACAAAGCTGAAACGAGAGAGGACATAGATCAGGTCTGTGCTAACAAGGAGCATCTTTCGGTGCCTGTTTCTAGCCCTGCTTTCTAATCTCAATTTTGCTGGCGAGGTACTCAGGAGAAAGCCAAATTCTACCCAGACTTTTCTAGAGGTTCCAGACAATCCTCCCCTGACAATAATAATAAAGAGTATCAAGGAAAATGCTGACAATTTTTATCCGTGACTGACAGTTGGCAATTCTGGCACAAGCTTAAGCAGGGCTAAACCTACAGCAAATTTTGGGGAAACCTTGGGCAAAATCTGAATGTCCTCCAGAAAATATACACTAAGAGCTGATACACTACATGTTTAATAGCTGCTGAAAAGAAAAATTATTTAAGTGTAGAAAATATAATACATGTATCCAATATACTATCTCACACAGTGGGAATAAAGTGGTTAAAAAATACAGTAAATCCTGATGTAGTTACCAGTGATAATTTTGGCCTTAAAGTTGCGTATTTGGTAAGAAGGAAGAAACCCGTATGGGAGACATACTCCAGTGCATTACATACCGCTGCGTGAGGCCACAAAATCCAAAACTCAGCCTCCAGTGGCACCAGGGTTTTTCTTCAAATTCATCTACAGCTCCTTCTGCAGCAGGAAAAAGGAAGGACAACTGGAAAACATGGGATGCCCTGGAACTAGATAACCTTTGGAAAAGTTTTTGGTTCTTTTAGGGACATTTGGGTATAGCCTAGACTATCTCTCAGAGTCAGTCCAAATTCTGCCCCATGGTAGGACAGTGGGGCTTGCTCCAAAAAAGAGCCAGGCAATCTTACCTGGGCACATGGGACACTGCTATTTTACATTCTCAGGACATTTTTCATTCTTTCAAGACATAAAAAGTCCAAAAATCTCCTTACTGATCGCACAGACTTTGTACATTTCCTAATGTATTACTCAGCTTGGGCTACCTCACTTACCCATATAAAGCATTTTCAAACCCACCACTGATCTGTAGCATGGATCTTTTGAGTTAAGTTTACCAGTTGAGAGGTCTAGGCCACACTGTCGCTACTGAGAGTAAAAACCTTTCTTTCAGTTAAATCAGTCTGGGCAACTGCCAGGACCCAGCGTAAATGAAACCACACAGCACATGTTGCACTGCACAACAGTGATGCTCTATGTTGTGCTAAGTGCCTGCTGAGCACTAGCTCAGACATGTCTATAGGAAAACTTACGTGAGGTAACCTACAGTTGTTCAGCCAGCATATACACACAACTGAACTGGAAAGTAAAGTGGTCACTCAAACCTTTACCATTACTTTTTGCAGAGACCATGGTCACTAAACAGATGAACAGCTTCACTGAGCAGGTGAATAGTTACTCTGTGTCTTCTATAGACTCTCCTGTACTATTCTTCTATACAATCTGAAATAAAAATTAGAATCTAAAATTGATTTGCCTTCCTCGTTCTGTATATTATGAATTCTCTTTATTTTTGCCACCTGTCCTGTTCTGCCAAAACTAACAAGTGCTAAAGTGGGGAAAACACATAAGAAAGCAGGCACTGAGTCAATTCAATACTGCTACCTGAAAGAATGACTAAAGCAATACCCACAACACTGCACCATTTGGCATCGTCTATCAGTTCTGCGCAGGATGATGGACTGTGGAAGGATGCTTGAGCACAGTTAGGAAGAAAATGAGCACAAGGCAGAGCTTTGACCCCTAACTAAAGGAGAGAACATGTGAAATCTGAAAGGGTTGATTACTTGTTTTCCCTTAAAGGAACACTGCAAATGATACTAACTGACCTTTTCAAACACACCAGATGAGAGGGGAAAGCACACAGATGGCACATTTTCTTCTGTACTCTACTTGTGGGATACATCCTACTTGTTCTAGTGAAAACTCAACTTTCTAACCAGAACATGGGGAAATCTGCCTAAACCAGTTGGGTAATAAATGAATTTTTTTCTTAGTAAAGAACTAACCTTGAGTTGTGAAAGGAATCATTCTTCTCTCACACGGGCAGTCTTCTCCTGTGCAAAGCAAAAGAGAGCAACAAGCACACACGAGTGCATGTGCCTGCACATGCTTCTGTAACTGAGCCAGCAAGAAAGGGAAGAGTGCTTAAGTTCATGCACATTTTTATTGAGTAGTAATATAAAATGCTTCTTTCATTGTTACAAGTGCATGCTTTGATTGCCAACATTTCGAAGTCAAATTACAAAGGCAAGGCTGTAGGCTGTAGTGAATTACTTGGGCACTTATACAATTGTTAAAAAATATCAATGGATTGTTTCATTTTGTTTCTTTTTCTTTCTCAGAATGAACCAGTTGAAACCCGTAACTGATATACAAAGGGAAAAAAGTGAAAAAATTACACATTGTGGCACATGACAGAACAGAACAAAATGACTAAACCATTATGACATTAACAGTTATCATGCATTTAGAATTTCACATGTAACTACAAACTTATTTAAATTTCACAAGGTTTGCTAAACATGCTACCCATCTATATGTGCACTGACAAGCTTATGTTAAAAACTTTAAGAATACTCTCCCCTTAGATTTTTCAAAGCTTTTTTTTTTTGATTACAAAATTTCAAAGGCATTAAGCATTTTTCTTTTAGAGAATATAAAGTACGCCAGTATACATACATTTCCAGTATAAGTCAGACCACTAAGCGCATTACAGTCCCATACAGGCCTATACAGCCATTTTTTTCTTAAAAAACATGCATAGGCAGATTTTTACAGAATATAGATGCTTTTCACTGCACTTAATATGGTGTCTTGTTCACTATACTTAAAAATGCACCACTCATAAATATTTAAATTCAGCAAGCCACAACCAAGACTTGATTTACCAAAAAAACCCAGAAAACCTCCCAAACCAAACCCCCTAAATATAAACAGCAAAAAAAGATAAATGTTATCATTATTCCAGTTTTTTTTTGTTTTTAAACAAAGAAAAGGATAATTGCTGCCAAATTAGTAAGATAAGTGTTATATTTAAAGAAGGGCATTGAAGCACACTAAAGAAACCTGAGGTAAGCATAATCTGTACAAAATTAAACTGTCTCTCTCGCTCTCTCTCACTCTCTCTTTCTCATTTTTTTGGCATTTTAAACAAATTTCCAACATTCTATTTTTTTTTCTTTTTTTTCTCTATATTTTTAAAGACTGCCTAATTTATTTCATAGCCATTGTCTGACAAGAGTAGCAAAACATTATCAATAAATAGTCCTTATTTAGTTTGTACATTTTGTTAAAAATGTTTCGATGTTGTCCATGTTTAGTGCTGCAACTGTAAACGTACAATAGTTAGTAAGAAATTAAACAAAGTTTTCATGTCCTGTAACATAATAAAAGGCCTTTCAGTAACATATCTAGACGTTCCCAATGCAGTAGGAAAACATGTTCATTCCCCTAACTTTGCAATATATACCAGCATGAGCTTTCATTTTTCTACAAGCATTTTAAAGGCATATCCAAAGGAGGTGTTTCTCCCTGACCCCCACCCCCCACCAAATTAAAGTTGACGATCTCTTCATAGATGATTTTTGTAAACTGAATCCAACACCTGGCCCCCAGAGCAAGTAAGCTATTATCAGAGGCAAGAACATCCCACTGCTGATGTGCAGCAACCCCATCGCGCCCTGCAGCTCAAACCCCCCTCCCAGACAGTGGTCACTGAATATTGCTGCTATTACTGCCGTTGCTGTCCGTGCCATTAGTCTCTGTGGAGATTGCCTTGTTGATGGAGTTAAGGTTGGCATCGGATGGCACGTCTCTGCGCGGAGGCATTCGCTCATTAATTCGATCTAAGCCTTTGGCCTCTTCGAAGCTAGTGATCTTATGCTGGGGTGAAAATCCTTTGATAGCTAAATAAAGGATTATTAAAAAGTAAAATTAGCAAGGTAAAACTCTCGGCAGCTTTTCCCCCAACTCAGCAACGAGTGCAAAAGTCCTTCTTTGTGAAGGCAGCAATGAGAAGATCTGACAACATGATCGACTCCTTATCATACTCGGAAAGAGCTGGGGGTTAACCACCATTGTCTCTTGCAACACAACTATTGTTTTTCAACAAGATCAACTTCCAGTATTTGATTGTCCACTGGGCTTCAGCTTAAAATGCTAAGAAGCTGACATGAAACTACAGTTTGCAGTTAGGAACCATGCTTAGGGCACAGCCATGAGTCGGTGAGTTAGCATTTGTCATCATCACTTACAGCCTTAAAGACATTGTGCCTCGCTGTAAAATCCTTAATCAGGCAAAACTCACGTTTGACTTTCAAAGACCAGGGGGAAAAGCTTTGGTCAGTTACAGATGGTGATGACATGGTGAGACCAGGTTTTGGGGTACACATTAAAGCTATGGGAAATGTGGGGCAACCCTACAACAGGTTGCCTTACATTCTCAACGCAGTGCAAGCTGCTTGTTGATCACTCAGGGTAGTTACACTCCCCAGCTTTATCCCTGGACAGCTTGAGCTAAACAGCAGTAACGCCGTGCAACACGGATCAGGAATATCATCATTTTGGCATATCTGTACAATTTTACTTTGGAAATGCACTGACAAAGGACCAAAGTTCCAATTGAACCTGAGGACTTTTGATCTGCTCTCCAGCAGCAACATCGATGAGGCCACATCAACCCCAGAAGGCAGCTACAGGCTGAGGAATTTATTTGTAGAGAGTGATTTTTATTTCATTTTTTTTCTTTCTGTCTTTAATAGAAGAGTTGAAGATCTTTAGATTTAAAGCAGAAGAGAAAAAAGCACTGTAGGCAAACAGCGGGCCACAGCTCCATAGATAATTTGTCATCGCCTTCTGTGTGTTTTTCTCTTATCTGCACCAAATCAATGCACTGCACTTCCAGAACTGGCACTTTTGCTATGCCTCTATCTTAACATGCCATAGAGTAGAAATGGTGTGTTAGTACCAGGAAACTGCAGACTCCCTCAGGAGAAAATGGTAGGGGAGTTGCAAAGACCAAATTCAGTATTACTTCCCTCCCTTTATCTCCTCTTTACCCCAAAGTACTCCTGCTCTCCTTTCAACATGCAGTCCTGAGTCTGGATAAGCTGGTACCTTCTGTTGAAAAAAAGAAAAAAAAAAAGAGAAACAAAACCAAAAAAAGGAAAAAAAGCCCAAACTCCGGAACATCCCTGGTACCAATCTACCACTCCTTGCATTTTGAGGGGAGTGAGAAAAGCTTTTTCATGCTGATACTTTTGCCAGCCATTCCTGTGAAAACTGATAGATCCTGTTTGCCTCAGGATTTAGCTCCTTAGCCAGTTTCACAAACATTATATTGGAACTTTGTGAAGTGCATGGGTTTTAAAACATGTATTATATTTCAACTCAGAAAACAACATCATCATAATGGTGATTAGTCAAGTGAGCAGTGATGGAACAGTGAAAACAGAATAGGCTCTACAGTGAGTGTTTTCAAGTTTCTTTTTTGTTTGTTCTTGGATTTTGTTTTACTTTATCTTCTACCACAAAAATGAAGACATTTAACAAGCACACAGGCCAATCCCCTAAAGCAATAGTTTAATGGATGGTGATGTTCAAGCTGAAACACTTGCTGTGTCCTGGAGCTTGCCAGTAGCACAGCCCAGTTGGTGTTATTGGGACCTGAATCAAACTGCAGGAGGACAGTTGGTAAAGGTCAAAATGTTTTCTCCATCTTTAGCTTTGCCTACATAGACTAGTCGTTACAGCTGTGGTTACAGTGTCTAACTAGCAAGGATGGCAAAGCAAGAATTAACTTGAAGGGTGCATATTGCTGGAATAGGGCACGTTTGATCGTATTTCAAGCAGACATGTTATCTTCTGTAATACTGAGGAAAGTGCTCTGCTGTAGTTGCTGGTCAGACAATGAGTATTAGCAGTTTACATTGAGAGTGTACTAAAACACAACACATAGTCACAGAAAATCACAGAAAACAGCCAAACTGTCAACAAGAATGCACACTGCAGATTAGAGATTGCCAATAGGAATAGATAATTCCAACATAAATAGCAGCTTACTCACTGCTATTTAGAAAGCAGTTGTATTTTCTCTTACTTGTTTGTTCTGTAATTTTATTCACTGCTTTACAAAACTCAAAAACAAATTCAACTGGCCAAAAGGGCACATCTTACCAACAGACAGCAATCATCAGATTTTTTTTATTAACTAAAAAAAAAAATAAATTAAAAAAAATACCCACAGAAAATTTGAGAGGGGCAAGAACAAAATACAACTGAAGGATTTTGTTTTAAAGGGGAATTCTGAAAATTCTTCTTCCAAAACTTTATAATGCCGGATGAATACTGTGCATCTACATTGCAATGATTACTTAGGTTTTAACCATAGTGATAAAACTGCTTAAGAGTTAAGTTAGAGGTCTGTCAATAAAGCACCAGTTTTCAATACCAAACATTCAGAAATCTTCTGAGGCAGTCGGTCACTTTGTATTTGTAGCTAAAATGGTGCTGGTGTTAATGGTTGCTCTAATGTTAATAACCAGTGTGTAAACTGCCACTACCAGAGGAAGCAGACATCTTGCAGACAAATGTCTCATGTTGTTTTACTTTTAAAGAGAAACAGAAACATGCTGAACTGTAACAAAAGACCAATAAAAATTTTTTACTAGTGACCTAAAAGAAAGGAAACAAACTGAAGCAAAAGAAGAAGAAAAAAAAAAAAACCAAAACAAAAAACATAACAAAAAGAGAGAATATTTATAAAAAGCTGTGTGTTTTCCTCAACCAGAGATTGCTGAGGGTAGTTTGAGGCAGAGGCAAAACCCAGCCACCAGCGTACAGCTTTTGGGCTATGTGTCAGAGCATTTATGAGCTGCTGCCGAGTTATGTCCCATGAAATCCAAGTCCCCTGATCTCCTGTGGCATTACTCAGTTCGACGTACAGCAATTCCAACGTGATTGTAACTTTCAGAAAGAAATAAAACCACAACAGCAGCAATGGAAAAAAAGAAACCAAAAAACCAAAAAACATTTTCCCCTTTAAAGCAATTACATTTTGGTTAATACCGAGCCACAATTGTTAGCCCAACACCCACACAATCTGTACAAGCTACAGCAAAATGAATACACCCAGCAGAGCCCTTATCTGTTGTGGCACCAACAGAAAGGGGACTGGCCAATTTACCTTCATCAGCCTCAATAGCCTCAACAGTAGCTGAAGAGAAGAAAGGGGTAGCAAAACGAATGAGAAAAATGAGCAGAGGATTTTAACTCTAAGAACAAGTCAGTGAATAGCAAAGGAGCTACAACACTAATGTTACTGTAAGTGCTGGATTTTGGCAAAACAGACAGACAGAGAAATGCTTACACAGGAACAATAATTTGCAGATTAAATTAAGCTATAGTTTGTTTTGAAGCAGAAGTTTCACAAACTAAAGAATTTTAAAGACACATTTGAGTAGTTTTCTTTTGACGCAAAAGAACTACAAAATGAAAATGTCTTCCATATTGCACATCTGACCTGAAAAGGTCATTGTATAATTCTCCCAGTTTTGAATAAGAGCAGTTTGATTTGCCCTGTCAAAAGAGAACGAAAAATGGCACAAAGCTATCACACAAAATTTGTACCACTCACAATGTCATCTTGAAAAGCATTAGTTGCCAGTACAAGGCACGAGAGCCACATATACAACTTCTCAGAATCATTTTTTGTCTCTCTCCTGACTAAAAGAAACCTCCCCACAGCACAGGAGAGAGTCTGCTCAGACAGCTTTGCCTTTGCTTGCAATCTCACCTAGTCTGCTCCATCTATTAGCATCCTTTCTGTCAACCCCATTTCTGAAAATAGCATTTTTCTAATATTTCATTTAGAGCAATGGACATGGATACAAGATTGAAAGCTGTTGGACCTCTAAAAGTTGCAAAACCTGGTCACAGAGAGAGAAAAGTTTGTAACTGGGAGGTTGCTGCAGTATTATGAATACCATGTTACCACTGTCTCAAAACCATTCATTGCTCTTGAAAACATAATTTCATCTGAATTCTACCCATCAGCTTTAGCATGAATTTGTTTCCACAGGCAGAGATTTAGAAGCTGATACAAATCAGCAAATGCAATCCAATATAGCAATGGTACAGCTCAAATATTTGAAAAGAAACTTTGATTTTCAAGAACTTCTCCAGTTTAGAGAATAGCTCAAGGAGCCAAAATTTTTGGAATTCCTCTCTTCCTTTTTGTCTTACTTTCCCCTATGTGAAAGATTTTTCGTCCTCCATAAAACCCAAATTTCGTATTTTTTTTTTTGGTAGTTAGGATGTTAAATATGGATTGATTTCAATACTAAAACATGTACACTATTACCTTGCTGCATGGGGAAATGAGAGGAGCTAACCCACGTGCACCAAGGTAAGGCTGTGCCTCTCAAGCTACTGAGCAAGAGAGATGGCAAAAATCAAGGAACAAAACCAAAGCAAACTTAAAAGAAAACATGTCAACTAGGATGAGAAATTAAAATGAATAACCAGATCCAAACCAGCACTGACACATTAAAAAAAAAAAAAAAAAGACGACTAAAATGTATACTTCACAACAGAACATACTACTCATATTTTCTGTTAATACATATGGTAATGTGAATGAATGCTTAACAGAAACTATGTAAACTACAGAGTATTTGGTGAATGGGGCACTACATGTTCAGTAATGCAGAAACTTGTGTATAGTAATGTTTTACTGAGCCAGAATACTGCAGTATGAGGAGATTTTCTTTTTAGCCATTGTAACAAGAACTTTAGGCAATTTGCTCAAATTCATTTCTATTCCTAATATTTTGCCAGGGCAACAATAGCAGTTTTCTTGGACCAAATTTTCTGACAAATGTAAAGCAACTACATGGAGAAAAGACTAAATAAACACCACAACCCCATTAAGAAAGGCATCCTATAGAATCATATTGCAGCATTTTCAAAGCAGAACGTTACTATGCCTGTAACACACAAGTAATCAAAAAGAAAAAAGGGAAAAAAAGGGAAAAGAAGGTTTACCGCCGTATACCTGAATCTTCTAGGTAAAAGAGACAGTAAAGGGAAAAATACAGAGGAAGAATGCTCCAGGAAAGAAACAGGAAAACAAGAGGCTGAGACTGTGTTAAGGTTATAAAGCATTTCTATTTCTTACATCCGCTGCCAAAAGAACCTCAATAAGAGAGAGACATTGTTGTGTGCCTGGGATATACTCTACAGCAATACACACAGGGAAAAAAAGGAGAGCCTACAGTAGTAAATTAAATACTTCGCAGCTCCTTATTCCAAAAGGAATATTTTATCAAAGGCAGCCTTGCTATAGACTTAGAGATTTCCTGTAACAAGAAGCACTTGGTATAAAACTGAACTGACAATCTGTATTGTGTTTGTGTACAAGGCAAACGTGGTGTTTTGTAAATGCTTCCCTTTACTTGGCCTTAAATCACCGTGAAATTGTTCTCAAGCTGTCACCTAGAATTGCTAGGAGAGAAAATTTAATTCTAGAGCTATTTTCCATTGGCGATTCTCTATGTGGAAGAACAAATCAGATAAAATAAGAGCTTGTCATTATCTAAGCTGAACCTTCAGTACTCTGTGTATCAAAGGCTGCTCTTAAAAAACCCAAAACCATGCTGTAAAGTGCGGAAACAGCGCACTTCACATTCAATGCTGATCTACTGCTCTGAACAGCTGATTTTCAGGGATTTTTTCCCCCCTTTCTTTGAAGATTAGTCATATATAGTTAGTTTTGAGAAGTGGCTTTTCACGAACTGCCCACAAATGCTCCAGTACAACAAACCGCCTGGTTTATTCTGTCCTTGACTTTTTTCCTGAGAAAACTGTGATTTCTTTTCTTAGGTTCTGCAGCTGAAAACCAATTGTGCTTTGTTTATTTTTCACACAAATGACACACACAGGCAAACATGCTTACCGCTTTGCAGTGTTTGCTTTCCTCCAGAGAGCACACCACTGGGCAGCATTCCTGTTGGAGTCAAACCTTTCAGCGTCAGCACACTTTCACTCTCTTCTCTGCAGAAGGAAAAAGAACCCAGCAGTAAATAATTGTCTTTTTTTTTTTTTTTAAACACCAAACATGTTTCAGACACCTTTAGCTTCACCTGCCTTGCAATGATTTGGTTTTTTCCAGTCTCTCTTATCAGGATGGACTAAATCAGGTGATACCACTAGCACTAGTGCAGTTCCCCTCACTGCTATGTAAGTGCTTCACCTTTGCATCATGCCATACGCAGACTCCCACTACAGTTAAGACTATAACCTGCATCTATGAAACAACCTATGACATACATTTGAATACATATATATACACATAAAGCCACAAACTTGATAGGAGGAGGACCAAAGAAGCAGTTATTGCCAACAATATATTTAAGCATTTTACACTACGTGGTCCAAAATCAACTTAAATTGTTGTTTTCTTTTGTCTACACTAGCAGTCAGGTGCATCATTTATTAATGATCATCAGCCACTTAAAAAAAAAAAGGCACCTAAAAGCTCATTAAAATTAATAAGCACTTACACTTACTAGCACTGTTCTTAATAGTTTTGTATGCTAAAAATAATACTGAGTTCAGGAAAAAACGTTTTAGAAAACCTAAATAAGTTTTGCCAGTCTTCAAATACATATAGTTTTTAATATAACAGCTCTATCCAGACAAGCCACTAAATACAGCTTTATATGACTACTGTAATGCTTGTCTGTGATGACATACTTTCTCAGCAGCAAAACTGACCTCAATTTTTTAAGAGAAACCTATTTTGAAGTGCTTTACTTTGAAATATATAAGGACATTAAGCTGAAGGAAGCAAACACAAAGAAAGAATTTAGTTCCACATTCACTTGTGGATAATGTGGTTTTGTCTATCAAAACTTTCTCTCAGCAATTCTACTACTTCTAATTTTCTTTAGACCTATGTGCCCTGAATTACTCACATATTTCAAACAACTTGTTTACCTACTACATATACTCAAGTTCTATTTTTACGTTGAAAATTATTCTCCTTGTACACACTTTTGTGTAACAGTCAAAATCAAATTGTGACGGTTTTCCTTGCAGGTTTCCTAAGCAATAAGAATCAATGCAACAGCCAAATTTCCAGAATTAACACAGTATTTACATCATCAAGTGTTACACACCAAAGTTTTTGCTTTCTCTTGGTTATATGCCACTGCAAGCAAATGCTTAATCTGCATTTTCAATTCAATCCATTTCTTTTTTTTTTTTTTTTTTTAGATTAAACTGCAATGGCACTTTTAGCTTGACTTTCATAGGATAAGTTTATTCACTGTATTTCTATTACCTTTAAACTGTATATTTCCAAGAAACCTCTCACAAATTTTGAGATATTTTTAGCCTTCAGTGTTCTTTATTTTCTATTTTATGTCCCTTACTCCCATTTTAAAAAGAGAAAAATAAACTGATTAAATATTTTCTTTACCTCCCTCATGTCTAAATATACCCAAAGAAAGTTCAGACTTGCAAAACTAAGTCAGAGAGAGGCAATGACAGGATACCATGAGGTCTTCCACTGACCTTAAGCCAATCTTTCTATGATGGCTATTCTTAGCAAAGCCCATTTAGAAACTCTGAAACTTAATACAACACAATTTTTATATCTAATTTTGAGACTAAAGTGGCTGAAAATATCTCAGTTTTACATTCAGGTTACACCCTCGAGGAAAGTGACTACTCCAGATCAGAAAAGGGACATTTGACAGAGTACTTTGAAGGTGTCCAGATCAGGTGCTGATCACTCAGAAACACTTTTCAAGAGTTAGTGAAATAAATGTCAGAAACCAACCATGACTCAAACAGCAACTTCAAAGGTTTCTGAAATAGGCTGGATTAGACGACAGTGCCACTGCAGTCTGCGGGGTTACACACAATTATCAGACATTCGAATGTTACATGTGGGTTGTGCTGGCAAGACAGAAAAAATAACCCAGGCTTTTCTATAGGAACTGTATTTGCAAGATTAACTTCATGTAATTTTTGCTGTCTAGAAGGCTGGCACCTAGCTGGAGAGCATCAACCTTTCCCAGCAGAAGAGCAGAGGAGGTGGCTGGGATGAACTGTCACTCTTCCCCCTGGTAGACTGGTCAGCAAAACTGCCCACTGGAGGTATTTTTTTTATTTGCTGACTAATCTTCTGACCACAGTAAGGATGTGGTGTATGTGCTGGTTAAAAATAGGGGAAAACAAATATACTCTTCATCTTCAGTCCTCACTGCAAAGTTTTAAGGTCCATCAGTAACCAAGAACTGTATAAGTCTCAGCAGTTTCAGTGAGTGAGCCACTGGCTTCTCCTCTACTGAATACAGTCCATTTTGGTCTTCTGGAGATGCTGAGATGCATGTGGTAGGGGTAAAAAATTGTCTCATGAGTATCTATCTCTGAGATGAATTCGTTTTCATGAAAGGTCAAGACTGATTTCCATCAGTGCCTTAAAATGTTGATTTTTGTGAAATAATTTAAGAGGGCTCAGAGTTTCAAATGGTGCTAAAACCCTAAGCTATGAGGCTTATGCATATCACTTTCAACAGCACACATGCAAAAATTACCCTCTACCCTTCTTCCACCCTGAAACCATTGAAAAGCTTCTGCCCCTTAGTTCCCTTTGAAAAAGTCTTTGATGCATAGGTGTTGTCAATCATCTGCCAAACTCAAATATACCAGCTGCGCACCCATTTCAGGCCCTTCTGCATATTAAAGTTCACGTTACTGTTTAATTAATCCTATATTTCAAAAGGTGCTCCACAACAAAATACAGCGACTCCAGAGGCTGCAGTTCAAGGTTAAGAGAGAAAGCCAGGTTTCCCAAAACTTTAGTTTGCTCAGCTCTCATCAGAGGAAAATAATGGTGCTGTTTTACAAAGGTGGTGGCAATGTCAGATCCAGGCTCTCTGCCAGACTTGGTACAGAGGAGCAGGTGGAAACATTTGATTGCTCCCCTGTCTTGTTTAAGGAAAAGGCAAGATGCCAAATTTTTTCTCTTCCCCACCCCCTTTTTTTTTTTTGTTTTTATGGGTACCACTTTGAAGGGGCTTGTGCATCACTAGTAATTCACACAGAACACTTTGGGAAGCCCAGGAACAAAGTCCTCCATCTTTATATGCTATTTAAAGCTATGCTGCTGCAATCTGCAGCGTGTGGGTGAAATGCTGTGGCCACGCAAAGCCCCACTGACAACCTGCCCACTGCCTGCACGCTAAAGAAGAGTCTCAAATCAAGCATGTTTGAGAATTCCAGCTGAAATTAAGAGTGTATTCTTCAAGTAACTATTTTTATTTCCTTTTTTTTAATATATCAATCATATAAGCATACCAATACATTTTTTAAAAAATCTCTTGATTTTGCAGTAACCATAATAGCCATAAACTGACTACAGCAGAGCAACATACAATTTCCTGTGGAAAAAAAAAAACAACCCTCTGCTGAAAGGGAGGGAGAACTCTATTTTCTATATTTAGACTTCAGCACAGCACAGTACAGCATGTTTTCTCTTCTGCTCAGAGACATCAAATGGAGAGTTCTAAACATTGGGTAGCAATTAGTTACTCATGCTCATGTGTTTGGGGGAGTGCAGCCTAAGGTAATGATTGCTGTTGTCTGCACAATGACTTCCTGGTTTTTTAGTTAAATGACCCTAATGCTTTTATCTCTAATCATCTTTACTCATGGCTGTAGCAGCAACTGTGGGCGACAAAGTGGGACCATTGGCTTCCTTTTTAATAAGACACAATAAGGAACATACCTCCCTACATTTAATTCTTGCCTCACAAGAGGCTAAGAGTTAATTAGTAGACCTGGTGAGCAAAAAGTCTTTAAAAAAAAAAAGGGTAATTGCAATTTTCTCTGCTGATGTCTTTTGTTTGTCTGTTTTACACTCAGCAAAAGCCCTGAGGAAGATTATTCAGAGCCATAATAAATAGCAGTATTGTATAAATAAAACAATCTTTAAGAGGTTCCAGTAAAACTTGGTTGGCTGGTATACTAAAATACCAAATTTGCTGTTTGATTAACAGTAGAGTGCTTTAAGCAATCATTGAAAGATATTTTTTACATTAAAAAAGCTAAAACAGCACAAACCCTTACCTTAACACTGAGAAAACTCTAGCCATTTTTCCTATTGCTCGTATCTTGTTCCTAATAACCTCCTTTCGAGCAGCAGCTGTTGCTCCTGTGGAAAACACATTAAAAATAGTTATAGGGATTTGTAAACAATATATCAGTGCTCTGAACTCTAAATACAAGAAACATCATATTAACCTACATTTGTAATCAAAACTGAAAATACTATTTTTGTTTACAGCCCAAGACTAATCATTTTTGAACAATCTAGCTACTAGTACCTTTAGAAATGTGATCCTTTTCCTGCTACAGCTTTAGCTGCATGGTTTTCAATGTAATCTAATTTTCCATTTCAAAAACATTTTCAGAGACCATACTCTTTTGAAAACAAATTTCTTCAAAAATAGTGAAAATGCCAAAAAGATATTCAACGTGAACAGTGCCCAAACCATAATAAAAGAGTTAAAAGTTAACAGTGGAGTTAAAATCTATTTCACAATCTTATCATTTTAAGTGAAAACCAATCACATTTCATTTCATTTTCTTGAAAAACTTTAATGGGTCAAGCTTAAGGCCAAGAGGGTCCAGTTAGGTTTTTCCCATCCCTAGTTAAAAAGTATGTAAATAGTTACAAAACCTAAAGGCAGAGTCCTGAAAAACAGCATGAAATGGTAAGGACTGGGTTGGCTGGCTGTGGTTAAGAGTTCCATACAGCAACTTCCTGCTTATGACTGCTATAGCCTGCTCAAAATTACAATTACTTTGAAATTTGTGAACTCGCAGAGTAATCTGCCTTAAACAAATAAATAAATCAAAAGGCATGCTGGAATAGAGACTACAGTTCAGCTAAGTTTGCATGTGCACTTGTTAGCTGGATATCATCAAAACCCAGAACATTATTTGTGCATCCAAGAGAACCACTTGAATGGGAAAACCAAAGTTATCAGGATGAGGAATTTATTTCAGTAAGGACCCCCATGTCTCCAAGAAAATGCCATGCTATACTAACTAAGCCATTTAATCACCACAATCATAACCACATACACCATGAAGTTTTCTCCCAAAGGTTTCTGAATGACAGGTAACCTTGGCTTGTATCAGAGGTTCAGGAGTGCCACCTGAAAACCACTACACATCACAGTATCACTTCCTTCTTTGCTGCTCCAGAATCCAAGGACAAAAATAAAAATGTCTATTTTCAATTCATAGCAAACTGATCCACAGTCCATCATGGAAGCTAAACTAGCAGAAAGGGACATAAAATGAGGGAGGTGGTTATGGCAGAGAATGGACAGCCCCAGGGACCTGAGGCAGTGGCAGAGAGAGCCACTTGCGGGTACTGGGCAGGAGAGCAAGACACTGCCAAACATGAGTGATGGGTGCAAGAGGTGAAAAGCTGCAGAAGACACAGCCATGGAGCCTTGCCATGCAGACTTTTCTTTGCTGTATTATGAGCACCAAGCAACTTTAGCCGAAAGGGCTCATAATGAAATGCAGGCTCCACTGAACTCAATGGCAAAAGTCCCATCTGCTTCAGCAGCACTTGCATCTCACTCCTCTGTGCAGTCCCAGCTGCTCTGGGCCGTGTTGGTGAGGTACAACATTGCCATGCAGGAGACTCGCTGGGTTGCTTCTGGGACCTGACTGTACAATAATTCTCACAGGTTGAGTTTTCTCCACACACCTCTGCTGATGGCAGTCCCGTCACTCTCCTATCTGGCACTGTCACCTTTCCTATGGCAGACTTCCCAATTGCAATTAAATTTGTAACAATTTGAGACTACCACTGGAAATGCAAGCATTGCTTCATGATATTTACTATGACTAGGTGGCCTGGCTGATACCATGGCACTTCACAAGAGATGAAAAGGAGGTATGCTTTTTTTTCTGTGCTTGAATTAAAAAAATAAATAGCCATTCTTTGCAAAAAACTGTCAAAACTTAAAATAAACTCAATTCACAAATCCTAGAGCTGTTCAAAAGAACGCTAAGAAACTGTAGGAAACATATCATGGATAACAATAAAGAAACTCAGGATGAACCTCACTGTAACTTTTCACATTATGGTCGAGATCAAGTTTAACCCCAAACAGTGTGAGGAGTTTGATGAAGTGGGAGCTTGATAGCCATGCACAGGGAATCCTGTAGAGCTAGCTGCCTGTGGGGTTATGTGTCCCTGACCAGCCCGTGAACAAACAGGTCTACATGAGCCACTTCATATGTGCTCACAGCTATCACAATATTCATGCTCTAATCTTTGTAGTGGTATGCTTACATACGGAGATATGTTCATACATCTGCTGAGGAGCATAAACTAGATGTCTTACAATCATACATGTTACTTCTGCGTGCATCTGTCTTTTGGCGCAGGTATTAATCCATTATTTCCAGGCATTTATTTCTAATTGTGCTCCTAGACTGTCTTGAAATTATGAGCCTGTATCTTGAAGTTTAAACTGAAAGAAACTATGCTGAGAATGATGGCTTTCAAATCTCCCACACATAAAGATAAAAATATAATGATATAAAAACTATAACGATAAAAAAAAAAAAGACATTAGCCATAAGTGTCTAATTCTAGACAATAAGGAGTGGGAGAAACAGCTGTAATTCAGCTTTAACTGAATTAAATATATTCATAACAGCTTAATGAAAAATTTAAATTGAACAGCAACAACTGAGCTGGGTTCTTTGAGAAACAGAGCGGGTACATTCCTGCCTCAGTTACTACGATGTCACTGAACTCTACCCTCAACATACACACATGTTTTTCAGCCTTTTTCACCCTGAAAACACTTAAACACAACTTGTCCTTTTCCCCCAGGTGTCACTATCCCTAGTTGTTTATTACAAACCCACACTGCTCTAGATCTTATAAGTATTTTCAACCTTTTCCAATCACTGCTGAACTTCCAGAAGATTTGAGAACTGAAAACTGTAAATACGATATATGACTGAAGTGAAGTACAATACCCTACACTTAAATGTAAAATAAGAATGGAAAAAATACTTAATCATAAACCACAACAGGCCTAAAGGAAGTATTTTGTTTCTCATCAATACATACAAAAGGTTACTAAAAAATACACTTCAAAAATTTTGGTCTCCACTGAGTTTCCTAATTTGTAACAGAGCTGTGAAAATGACTTAAAATGTTCTGTGTCTACTAAATTAGTAAATTAATGATTTTATTTCTACTATTTTTTAAACATTATTTGCTGAATTGTGCACGTGATATTCACAATATTTTATGACCCTGTTAGTTTTGACTGAATACAACTAAACTATACAGTATTTGATTCTCGAAGTATTTATACATAAATCTCAGACTCACATTTCAAGTGTGAATACTCTGAAATTCACTATTACTACAAATCCTTATGAATTACTTCAGCTACACTTAAGCATACACTTAGGTGAAAGTAAAGTGGTCATAACCTCAGAACTGGCTATGAGCAAAAGGGTTAGTTTTAGCCTTTGCAGACATTGCCTTATCCTCCTATGTTTTTACTTTTCTTTCATAGAATCATACAATTGTTTAGCAGGAAAAGATCTGTAAAAGATCTTTCACTATCTAAACAAACCCTATTTGCATGAAGGAACTTAAAAATTAGTATGAATAGCATGAACACAGCCAAGTTTAAGACTGGAGTAGAAAAATTATTTGGGAGGTAGAATAAAATCTTTGAATCTTACTTCAGCAATATAACCAGTTCTATTGGATTTCAGATTTGTAGCATCCAAACATAGATCTTGCAAGCTGGATATGTAGGACTTATGTGAAGTGTAATTTAGACCTTCAGATTAAGAAGCAGAACAATGCGGGGGGGAAAAAAAAAAGACTATAAAGTCAGAAAATATTCTGAGACGTAGGATTGAACAGACAGAAAATAATACCGAGGAAAAAAGCCAAATCCAAATTTCTCACTGGTATCCTAATACATTATGTATTATCTAATTAAGCATAAGGAAAATTAATGAAACTTAAGCCTTCCAACTTATTGAATACCTTTCTTCTGTGCACAAATGGGATCTTCTTATGAATTCCAAAGGGGGGGAAAGAAAAAGATCAGTGATGTTTGTAGAATGAAAATAAAAAATAATACAGAACATTTCACAACATCAATGGAAACGTAATGTTTAAGTAAAGTCTGAAAAACAGAAAAGAAACAAATTAGGTAGGGAACATCCAAAAGGAAAGAAACAGACTGAGAAAGATGGGGGTGGGGGGAAGAAAGAAAACTTTTCAGCTTAAAGCCTTATTAGTAGGTTTTGCAGTAAGCCAGCATGCAGGTAGAAGATTAGCAGTGAAGCTTAGCCTTGGTGTTACCACCTCTTGAACACACACTTCCTCCTACATTACTGCAGGTGCTTTGATAAAGCTTAATCACTTCTCAAAAACAGCCCCCCAGTTCACGTGGGGTGTGCCTGCCTGATGACATCTCTTTTTTTTAGAGGAAACAAGCCAATTGTTCCAGTTTATTTATGTCCGATACCTGGAAGAATATCTTAGAATGATAAACGTCTGCTATTTCTTCCAAAATCTGTGCTATTTACTGCATGCATATTCAAATGGTCCAGCAGGTTCAGTTAACAAATCCAAAGAGCACCATGGTATTGCATTTTAAAATCAACAGTGTTTGAGAGCAAGACAAGTGCAGCTCTCAGTGCTCAGGCACTACACTAGGATATGTTTTGGGGGCCCTGGTTATTTATTGCATGCTGCTAGGCTGGTCCAGAGGTAGAGCGTACCAATGTGCCATAGTATGGCTCATATGAAAAATGCTTTGGGCATAGAAACAAATGTACCCAGGCAAATAAATAAATAAAAATATATTAAAATGCCCCTTTGCAACCAACTCACAGAGATGAGGCATACTTTGCAGCCCAACTTTTCTGGTTTTGAGGAAGAACAAACATGAACCAGTGGGAAAAACCTTCCATTTCTCTCCAAGTAAAAATTAACTCATTGAAAAGCTAAGACTCTCTCACCATGAACACCTTTACCAAGGCATTGGTAAGTCACTGAAATCTGAGGACAAGGCCTTTGATTCTGTTCAATCAGTCTCTGTGTTAGATAGTGCTGAGCTTGCCCCGGTAGTTTATTGCACTGAAGATCTGTGGCAAATTTTGCCTGCCACTGTTAACAGCAGAACCAGGTTTTGATCAGCAAAAGAAGTTTGACTTGGTAATTTCTCTTTAGGCTTGGACTACAGCACTGTACTGGCGAAGCTGTATTCCAACTGCAGAATAATTGCTGCACTGACAGAAGCTTTTCCATGAGAAGGCTGTGAGCTACAACTTTGAAGTCAATACAAAAATTAATGCAGGTAATTTAGGAATGTGTTTATGCCAAATCATGATAATGATGCATACAAAGCAAGCTATGCATTTGTGTCAAGTTGCCTATTACATTACTGCACCCTTTTCACTAGCAGCTTTGTTTTTTCTATCAATCACATGCATAAGGCCAGAAACGTTGCTAGTTAAAATAAAACAGGACTCCAACTATACGCTGGCTAGGTAGAAGTATTTGCAGCTACTGTTGCTAAGCGATACATTTGATGCACAAACCATTACAGCACATGAGCTAACAAGCACACAAGACATTTTTTGCTGGATCAGATTACATTGCAATCACCATAGCAAACAGGAAAGAGAAAGTACAGCAAGAGGAAACTATCAGAGATAAGAAAACTTGACCTATCATATTCTCTCATTCTTAAAATGAGTGAATCCAAAAGGCCAATACAGGCCAGCAGGGACATAAGGGATAAAGGGTACTACGATTGCTGTATAGGCTTTCTCCCACTAAACATACACAGGAACTGCCTACAACAAATTCATCAGATCCCATGATGTATTTCCTTAAGCAAAATAAAATATAAAAAAGAAAGAAAAAAAAAAAAAGAAAGAAAAAAAGGGGGGAATACATGCTGTTGAGCATCTTGCTCATGGCTGACTCAGAACCAAAACCAGTAGTTTAAAAAAAGGGCTCAGAAGAACACCATGCAGTGAGGTCAGAAAATACTGATGGGGCTGTTTTGTAGGGGGAAGTGAGAGGGGAAGACAGAGGGCAAGAAAGTATAAGAGAAGATAGCAAATGAATGACCAGCGCAAACCATAGTGATGGATCATTCTCATTACATGTGGGAACTCAGGTCAGGGCATGTTCAAACTGCAAGGAGAGAAAGGAAATCAGCAGCGAGCCCTGGAAACTACTTGTGATATAAAAAAAGGTGATGACTTTAAAGAATCATTCCATCAAATAAAACGCACCCACTGTTGCAGATGTCAGGCATTTCCTTCTATGGGAAATACTGAAAAAGAAAAATGTCAGTGGGCGAATACGACTGTATTGCTGCAGTCCTCCAAGGAAGCTGGACAGAAATTCCAGAACAACACTGGAAATGCTGAACCACTGCAAGACTGTCAATATACATCCCTTACAGAAATAGTTTTAAGCTGATAATCATTTCAGTCTGTTTCATCAAGAACACAAATGAAATACATCTTGCAGTTTCTCCCCCAGAAGGCAAAGCTCCAAGGAAAAGAAAAAAATAAGGAAAGATAAGGAATTCAAATCTCTCTAAGAGAAAAAGGATTTTTCCTGTGTTGTACAGATAGTAAACCATAACCCACAAGAAAAATATTAAAGATATCAGCTTCTATTAAATTTGAATCAACCCTCACATTTGCTTTTATGCCTGAATCCTTCAGTCTCTTCCATGCATGCAATAACCACAAGCCCACCGCGTCCAGTGGGCTGGAGGTACAAGCGTGTGCCCATAGCAAGCTGCAGCACCAGCACCACAGACCCCGTTTTACAGCTTTAAGGGGATTAGTCGGGAAAACAGACATGAACATATGCCAGCTCTGACTTTAGCTACACATGCTAAAGAAGACAATGTTTCTAATACCTTCCCTAACATAATGTTTTACACAGAGAAATCATTCATACAGAGAAAAACTGAAAGCAGATTTAAGACAACAATACCAGGAACAGTTTAATTATTCCTCATCTGGAAACTTTAACACTGTTAGATATCATTATGCAGTACACATGCATGCAAGCCCAGAGGATTTCAGCCTGTCTGCCTGCAATGCCGCAAACTCCACGTCTGGAGGAGTGTCGTGGTAAAACTCCAGGGGAGGTGGAATGGGGAGTCATCCTCCTCACATTAATACCACCACAGATGTAGAGACCTCCTGCAGCTGGAAAGGGCTGCTGTCCCCAAAGACCCCTAATGCCTCATCATTTCTGACTCTGCTTTTGAAAATGTGCTCCTGAGCTGCAGCTTAAGCATGGGAACGCTGACACACTAGAGTTTTAGAAAAGGACTACAGATGTTGGCCTGCCTATGCTCATGCTATGGAAGTTTATAGTACAGCTTTAAAGGAAAGTATTAGGCCAATGCTGAATTAATTTAAAATCCTTCCCATAAAGCCTTTGCTTTGGCATTGCATTCAGTGGGGTTTCAGCCTGCACTTAAGTGTTTTCTTGAGCCAAGGATTTTAAGCACATGGTTTTGTTGCTACTGTATTTAATTTGACACAGTTTTACTCATTGTATGCCCCCGTACTGTTTCACACGCTGCTTTAATTACACAGTAGCTACTTATTTAAATTTCATGAGAAAAAAACTGGGCACAATATTCAAACAGGTGTTTTCTTCTCTCCACTGATTACTGGTTTCAATACATTCAGTCTTTGTCCCAAGTCCTGCAACATAATTGTTCATGTCCACACTCTGTGGCAGATGCAGTACAGGGATTTCCATCTGGCTTTTCAGAGCAAAATCAATGTGCTATCATCCATATCCTTCTTCTCCATCACAAAAGAAACATTTGTCAAAACATGTGATCCACCTTCCTCTTCCAAAGATTAAAAATAAAAGACTTGGAGGGAGAAGTTTCATTATTATATACAACTTTGTTAAATATTTCTTACTTGAAAACTCTTCATTCTCCTTGTTCATTCATTCTACTTGCAAACATCTTGAGAATAGCTGGTAGTGCTAGATTTTCCCAGGTTTCTTTTCTTTTTTAATACTTCTTTTATTTTCCTTGATTTTTTTTTTTTTTTTTGTCTTAAACACTGAAAGCAGCCATAGTAAGAACATCAGGGATGCATGGAATTTTTAATTTAGTTTTGCTCAGTTGAGAAGGGACATTCTGGAGACCTGCAATTTACTCTTGCACAGCCTAACAGAAACCAGGGTCTAATAAAATAAATTGACTTCTAAGTATCCACAAACTGCAAGATATAAAGTATCATTTACAGTTCAACCAACAGGTACAAGGCAACTTATCATCATGTAAACTCCAACAGAAATGGCACAGAAGTGACCATTCCTCCCTTAGCAGAAATGTCAGGTCAGAACATTTTCTGTGTTTGCATATTGTTGTTTTATTTTTTAATTATTATTCTATTGCTTTCTAAAGCCTTTTAGATACACAAGTACATGAAAAGAGATGACTAATGAAACATTGCAAATACAAGTCTTCCAAAGTTGTGATACCAATGTTCTAGAAGGATCTCTGCAGGAAGCTCATTTCATTCTAGAAAGGTAATTTCAATGATATAATTAAACTTTCTATGAGGATCCCTTGGATCTTATGTGTGAAATCAACATCTTACCCTTTAGGGAGAACACAATCCAGATTTCACGGTGGGAAAAACAGGTTTTTTAACCCAAAGAGTGAGACCAAGGAAAGGGTTAGAGCAGTTCAGAAGATACATTAATTCTTTCCAAAGCATGCAGTAAGCAAATCCACTCAAGTCTAGTGTAACAGTTGCTTTCAGCAGCACATAACTTAAATAGGACTCAGAATATTATCCCCAGGGTTAGTAAATAACCTTTTAAAGTAATTTCAAGGCAAACAACCTCAATCAAGGGCAGGAGGCTCTTACCATCAAACCCATCTTCCTCTGTCCCCAGTTCATCATCTGAGCAGATGTTCAGCACGTTTACCAGCATCTCTGTCACTAAAATAGAAAACAAATGCAAAATGTTGGTATTAAGCTTCCCTGGTGTGTCAAGAGAGCAAACTCTAGCTGTAGTAGTGTTAATGAAGATTCAGTACAGAAACAGCACCTACTTTTTAAATAACATGACCTTGTTTTAAGCATGTAGTAATATAAGCTTGAAGTGTCCTGTGTGATTAATAAAAAGTACAGTTTTCCGTAACAATTGTTCAAAATATAACAGACACCACAGCAAATAGATCTTAAAAAAAAAAGTGTGTTTAAAAATCTCTCTTTTTGCAGTTGTCAATAAACTGGGTAACTTTTGTTTTGTCCTCCTCAATACATTTTCACCAAAGGGGCAGTGTCCCTTGAAATCAGGGCAAATAGACTAGATGATTGTTTTAAGTTCCTTCCAGCTGGAACTATTCTGTATTCAACAGAAACATTATTGGTGAATACAGAATATATTCAGCTTGTTCGCTTTGCATCTTGCACATTGAAGGATCAGCCTCAGGCTAACCCCTAACCTGGTCCCAGCTATTTCTGGAAAGGCAGCAGTGAGACACTAACCAGAGCGCATACAGAGTAAGAACAGCCAAAAAACCCCAGAAACCCCACCACCAGCAAGAAAATCACAACCAATGAAATGTAATTTAGAGATAAAAAAAAAGCCAAAGTTATGAGGTAAAATGTGAAATCATTAGCAGATTGAAAAGAACTCCTCTACATGTAGTAAGCATCATTAAAAAGGTTACCAGGCATGTCTAGTCTTGCACTAGCTACACAGGTTGAAACTTCAAATTTTTTAATCAAGTAGTTATTAAAATCCTCTCCTGTGACAACTATGATGGCTTGGAATATTAGAAGGGTGGGACAAAGCTATATTTTTCCTACATTAGTGCAGGATTTAATATTTTCCTTTGACAGGATTAGTGGAAAGACTTTCCACATTAACAACAACCAGTGAAACTAACAGCTTCCTACCTTGGTTGGCCTTTGAAGGAAAAAAAATCTATAAAAAACAAAAAAGGAAACAAAAACCTGTATAGAACATCCTCTTACATCCATGAGTTTTGCTTTGCACAGAGAGGGAAAACACTGATTTCACTTCTTGGTGCCTCTAAAATTTCCAAGCAATTGGTAAGAGTGACCACTGGGAAGACATGAAGGATCAAAAAAAAAAAAAACCCAAACCAAACACATACATACAAAAAAAATAAAACAACCCAAGAAAAAAGCCTATGGTCTCAGAACATCAACAAATCTGACCATGCATCCTGCAACCTCACCTAAGATCACTGAAGGAACATCTGAAAAACTGGCCTTACAGAAGAGTCTTACAGGACTTTAGTGTGCATGGAGAACAGGCCCACCCTAAAAATGGCCTGGCTGAGTTTATAGCTGAAGAAAATGCAAATGTTTTATCTGCTTCACAAGAGTCTACAACATGTGTCAGTGTGGATTATGTAATGTCTCCATTAGTGGAAACAGCTGTCTATTCTTTGTTAAACCCTATTTCATTGTCTATCTGCTTTGTTCACAGAGACCTCAGGCATCTCACCAGCGGCTTTCCTCATACAAAAGAGTAGCTGAAAACAAAGCTGGTCATGACTGCAGGTAAGAGCCACAGCTGGCTGTGTTTCCAGTTGCCTATTAAGAGAGAACTGTTATTCCAAGCAGCTTTTAAGAGTTTGTTATAGTTTTCTGGCAGTAATAGCTGTTGCAGCAATATACTGTAATGGATGGATCAAAGCAAGCTTCATCTCAGGCCCTGAATAAAATGACTTGGGATTTAAACAGCTTGCATTATGCACTCATTTTGTATGTTAGACCAAAGTGTTTTCATGCCTTTTGTGTGCTTGCCATTCATAGCATCAAGTTGTCTTCAGGCAACATCAAGAGCATCGTGTTTCAATAAAACACCATTTATGTTCTTTGAAGTCTTCTTGCCAGCAATGAGGCACCATATGCCCTGGGTAGAGAAGGGTCTGAGAAACGGGTTTTCATTCTTCCTACCATCTCTCCAGACAAGTTAACCAGGCTGGGTCTTAGCATCACCAGCTCTGTGTTTGCTGATGGAAAAGCATCCCACTGTCATCTTCTCAGAAAGGTCTGCTAGGTAAGGATGTAACCATGAAGTAGTGAAGTCTCTTGTGATGCACCTTGTGATTGTGTAAGCAATATCCAATAGAATGCCCAAAAGCTTATAATGGAAGAACTGGAAAGAGTTTTATTCAGTGAATGCATCTGGCCTGCAATAAAATCTGCTTTTACATCAGAAACATAATGGCATCATAGCCTGGAAAGAATGGAAATTATAAAAACATCTGAGAAGTGTGATTAACCATTAGTAATTGCTTACCCCTCTGAGGCCCGTTTCTTCAAATTTGTCCTAGAAAGCAAGTAATCTGTCTTCAAATTATTCTTGCCATTTCAAATAAGAGGCCACATGCACAGTGATTAAGAAACCATACTGTAGTTTCTATGAACAGAGCCAATTTACGTACCTTTCTCACCCACAAATGGCAAGGACCAGGTAAACACATCCATGAAGTTTGGAAGCCAGTATGGATGAGGGGAGCAGTTGAACTGTCTGATATTCATGACATTGTTCTCGTACTTCAATACTGCAGCTAGATGGGAGAAAGGAGAGAAACAAGAGAGACATCAGTCACATGTGTGCCCAGCTACCAGACCAGTATCGCGCACAGCATGCACAGCCTACAGAGCTGCTCGCCACCTTGCAACCACTTGACCCAGTGGCAGTACTTGACTGCTGGTTATAATAGGATACAGCCTTAAAGAAATTGCAAGCCATTTGCAGTCTGAAAGTGGTGTCGTCAGATTTTTCTTGGCACTAAGATGGGTTGGTAAGTGAATTAATAACTCCAAGTAGTGACGAATACAGCTCCAGCATCTGCCACCACCAGAGAGCGAGGCAGAGCATCCACAACCACCTGTTTCTCACAGTTATCTGAGCTCCTCATGCTTTGGAGATAAAAGAGAAAAGCGCTTATCACTCCAGAGTTTGAATGCTGCTCTTCCAATGTACGTTTTCAACACATTTTATCCATAGTATTATACAACAGATGATACTTTCTTCTCCCAGTATTCAAATTCTAGGTACATGACACTGTGCTCCCTACAGTATGAATGAATACTAATACGATTTGTCTTGCGCCATTTGAAATTTGTACCATTCTTGTCAAAACACACACACATGCACATAAAAAAAACAACTCTACATTTTTAAAGTACTATGCCAAGTTCAGTGTTAACTTGTGACCATGGACTTCAGGTTCATATCTGAAACAGAATCTGATTAATCTATTTTTGCAATATTAACAGAACAAAGTAAATCAAAGCATTTCAGTAAGAAACAGAAGAGACCACAGCTGTACCCAGGCCCAATGCAGTCAAAAGTCAGATGAAAGATGGAAAGGCTGAATGTGGCTTGGGTGTAACTATGAGTGCAGTCAGGAAAGAAAGGGACAATACTATTTTGGTTAGTGAGGAGTAATATAATGTTGAAAATGTGGCAGGTGAAATAAAATGAACTCTACAATAAGGTTAAATAATTGCCCTTACACAACCTCATTTTCCAAAGTATAAAGTTTGCCTAACACTACATTCAGCACCAAATCTAGACTTCCATGCACTTTTGAAAATTTTTATAGCAATAAGTGATTAGCAGGGTGTCGTGGTTTAAGCCCAGCCGGCAA